TTTTTATACAGAGATAACATAATCAGATTCATGTTTTCCAAAGACCATTCTGCCTACAAAGTAGAGAATGAAACAGAGGAAAAAGAAAAGCAGTTGAGATATCAGTTAGATGTCATGAAGTATGGATGGTAAAGTTTTGGGTTCTAATGGTAGCAGCAGAAGTGGTATAAATAACAGTATACTCATACACTAAGGATGGGATATAAATAGTTTATTAAATTTTGGAATGTATTAATCAAAACTTAAAATCTGTGTACCCTTTGGCCCTGGCAATTTCACTCCTAAGAACTGATCCCTGAAAAACTGTAGACATATGCATATACTGGCATAGGATGTACAAAGGATGTGTCTTATGTACACAGAAAGTATCTAATGCTGGTATTTGTGAATTAATTTTTATTTTTATTCTTCCAATTAAACTAGAAAGGTGTTCTCTTTAACAATGTTATCCTCACTCATTTGTATTCTGATGTACGTTCTTGGAAGAAAAATACGTATGTTGGTTACCCCTGGCAATGTGGCAATCAATCAATCCAACAGAAAATAGCCAAAAGCTATGCCACATGTGGGAGCTCTGGTAGCGTAGTGCCTAAGGCACCTGACTGCTAACCAGAAGGCTGGCGGGTTCAAACCCACCAGCCACTCCTCGAAAATAAGGCTGGGCAATCTACTGCCTCAGAAACCCAAGGAAGGGTCACTATGAGTCAGGTCCAACTCGAGGGCAAATAACAACAACAACAACATGCCACGTGTATAAAAGCTGAAGGATCAGTGAATATTTAGTTTGGACTAATACAGAAGGTAAGCTCCATGAGGCAGGAATTTATTTTGTTCAGTGCGTAGAAAAATTCTGAAACTAGGTGTTCTGTCATACTTGGTATATGACTAAATAAATAAATGAGAACCAAAGTCTTAAAGAGATATAATTTGTTTTCAAATGTTTTTAGGTCACATAAAAGAGAACATGGATTAATTCTGCCCTCTACAATCACAATTAATAAAAATCAAAAGGGGGGGTGGGGAGGATCTATAGAAAGGAGGGAGCAAAACACAAATTTTAACTTGTAAGAAATAAGCAGTCATCTAATAATGGAATTAGTTGCTTAAAAAGACAGTGAGATCCCCTTTTGCATATACAGTACTGTGCTGTTAGTGAAGGCAAACATGGGTATATGGGTGGATAGACAGGTGGACTGGCTGAACTACTAGGTATGTCTATGTAGGGGGGGAGTAAACCCAAGACAATGTATAGAGCTGGCAGACAATGGTTCTACAAGTATATTTGTATGATCTGTAAGAATTCCCAGGTGTACAGTAGAGCTGACAAGAGACAAGGTTGGAGTCACTTCTTGGCCACAGCCAGTAGTTGGACCTGTGGACTCAGGACCATAGTTGCAGGGGACATCAAGCTCAACTGGCATAATACACAAAACGCTGTTCCACCTCCTACTTTGGCAAGTAGCGAATGGGATCTTAAAACTTCCAAACTTAAAAGCAGCCATCTAGATGCAATGATGGGTCTCTCCTCATCCAGAGCAAAGAAGAATGAAGAAAACTAAAGACACATGGAAACAATTAGTCCAAGCGACTGGTACACCATGCAATCCGCAGCTTATATAACTCTGGAACCAGAAGAGCTAGATGGTGCCCAGCTACCACTGTCAACCACTTGGAAGGGGATCTATGTAGGAGATCCTGGATAGACAGGGAGAACAATGTGGAACAAAACTCAAAATCATTTAGGAAAAAAAAATGGAGGGGGACCAGGTTTGCTGGTCTGATAGAGACTGGTGGAACCCCTGAGACTATGGTCCCTAGCTGCCCTTCAGGTCTGGAACTGAATCCACACTTGTGGCTTCCAGCCAAACAAAAGACAAGCAAGCATATGAGGGGAACATTTACCTGAGGTAGATACACTCCTTGGAGAGAACAATCATGGGACAAAGAAGGGCTGCTTATGCACAGGGAGACAGTTCAGGGGGCAGGAGTGCATGGAGGGATGGACACAGGGAAGAGGTAACTATTGGGAAGAAGTGGGAGGGGAGCTGTTACACTGGGGTAAATTGCAGTCAATGTCATGAGACAAAGTATATGTGAGAACTGCTGTTTGAAGCTGAGTTTGTTCTGTAAACTTCCACCCAAATCACAATTTAAAAAAAAAAAAAAAGAAAGGCAACTTTGACACCTACTGGGGGACTGCATTTGGTCATGTATGTGATTTAAAAAAAAAAAAAAAGACAGTGAGATCAAAACAGAAACAAAGACAATACATATTGACAGTGAGGTGGGGTAACTATGACTCTCATCAAACATTGTGGATAGAAGTAAAATTGTATAATCATTTGAAAAACTCTGGCAGTATTTACTAAAACTAAACATATACTTAACCTGTGACACCACGTTTCTACTTATATATATATATGTATGTGTGTGTATAAAATAACAAAGAGAAATGAGTGCATATACGAAAGAATGTGATAGTACCTTTATCCATAACCAAAAAAAAAAAAAAAAAACCGCACTTCCATGGAGTCGACTCTACTCATAGCGACCCTTCCTCCTTGGGCTTCCCATGGAAGGCACTATCTCTCTACAGCAGATTGTCCAAACTGCCTTCCAAGAAGTGGGTGGTGGGTTTGAACCACCAGCCTTCTGGTCAGCAGTCAAATACCTTAGGCACTACACCACCACAGCTCCCTTTACCTATAGTAGTCAAAAACCAAAAACAACTCAAATGTCCATCAACAATGGATTTGTGGAAGGAGGCAAAAACAAACGCAGAGGTTTCCAACACAGATAGCTAACAAGAAAAGTAGAGATTACATAAAAGAAAAAGGTTCCATTTGACGTGATGATTTTAAAACAAACGTACAGGAGGCAGAATTCCAAGAGTCTGTATGATTTAGAGGACTAGAACTAAGAAAACAGACAAATCCAGGCTAGGGGAATTATTAGCTTTAAAAATAATCAATACTAAACTTTCACCCAAATCATATTAAAAAAAAAAATCTATATTTAGGTAGAAGAAGAGATAAGAGACATAGGAAAGACTGTAAGAATATAAAACTGGGAAATAACATAGTTTGAGAAATAGCTGACTGTATTAGCAGGAGCCATTGAGGATAACTAATGGGGGGGGGGGCAAAAATCAAAAGGTCAGGTTAATAGTTTGGTAAAGGCCAAGGAAAAAAATACAAATGGCCAAATATTAGTAAATATAACAAAGCCTGAGTAATTATTAGTAGGTTTACCAAAGAATCCACTGATTTTATTAGCTATAACAAAGTGTAATGAAAGAACAATCATATTTCGGTGGATTGAGTAGAAAATGGAAGACAAACGTCGTAAATTTAAAAAAAAAAAAAGGCCTTGAATCAGAGGTTGGTAAAGTTTTTCTGTAAAAGGAGCAGGCAATACATATCTTAGGTTTTACAAGCCTCATATAGCCTCTGTTACATATTCTTATAAACCAAACTCACTGCCACTGATTCATTTCCAACTCATAGCAACTCCTCCTTGGGTTTCTGAGACAGTATCTCTATGGAAGTAGATACCCCAATCTTTCTTCTGAGGTCTGGCTGGTGAGTTTGAACCACCAGGCTTTTGGTTAGCAGTCAAATTCCTTAGGACCTATGCCACCAGAGCTCCTCATATTCTTATATATGTACAAAAACAGGTTCTAGGCCATATTTAGCTAATCTTTGCCTTAAAATCATCTCTGCTCCTAAATCAAGCATTTGGAGAAAAAGCTAGCATATAGCTAACTACCATTTTGACACTCAGAAAAATGCTCTTTCATAAAGCATGTACTTCAGGGTTGTTTTGTTTTCTTTTGTTTTCCCCCTTCAGTGATAGAAATTCTCATGCATTAATAAATGCAAACAATTTTGTTGATCCATTAAGTTCAAAAGCTTAACCACATTTAACACCAATAGCTGCTATCTATAACAAAGAAATTTATCCGATCCTTTCACCTAACAAACTCCATCTTACCAAGAACTCCAAAGAAATTTTAACAATAAATTTCCATCATCCAAGGAAAGATTAAACCACTTCTGGATACCCAAGGTATATTATAGTTGAGGATCAACTGTTTAGAAAAAAAAATTTAACTGTTAGGTAATCAAAAGTTTTTGACAGTAGTTGAAGAATCAAGTATTACAGGGTATTCACTTGTTAAAACTACAAAGAATATCACAGTGAAAAATATAAATTGAAAACAATTTTCTCCCTTGTCAAAAAAACCTGAACACTGAGTAGCATTTACTCCACCTGGCAACAACTCTTAAAAAAATAAATCACTAACTCATTCCCCAAACAAGGGAAACTCATGAGGATGAGTTTTGAGTCTAAACTCAAATAGTAGCTGTTAACAGACATGAACTATGTGAAAAAGAGAAGGTAAAGGATAGCAATGGACTAGGAATTTACTTCTGCCCAACTTGGGTTCTAACAGTATTCAAAAGAAGGCAAGTTCAAATAAAAAAGCAACAACACATCATGCCACTGTAATATGAAATAACCTCCAGTTTATCTTTTAATTTATAGATATGGATTATTTATAAGGCAATAAATTCTTAAATATAAATTAAGTTTACTGAATTCATTTTCTGACCCATTTAGATAAATTTTGTTTCAGTTTGATTTGGGGTCATCAATGCCCCAATTTCCCCTCTCTCCCTCAATCAAGAGTTGACCATATATGTTACCAAGTAACTGTTATATAAGAATGAACAAAATTCTTTATCTTAATCTATGAAAGATTTTCATTCTGGTAAGTCATCCAATTTGCCTATGACTCTGGATCCTGCTGAATTACTATTCATTACCAAAAAAGGACAACTGTTTTTCAAAAAACATAAAAGCAGTTGTGTTATACTTCAAAGTGACTTACATTTATCATCGTCTAAATCAGCATTCTATAGAACCAATATGTTAAATCCAAAATCTAGTCCATTTCAATCTTCCTTTTATCACTTAAGAGTGAAATTGTTACCTACCTTTCAGAACCCTCTTGTTTCAACTGAGAGACTTCACCAAGTGCTGAATCAGTATCCATAAGACCAAGAAAATCTTGTTTTATATTAAGGGATGGTTTTTCCAAATCGCTGCCTGATGTTTCATGACTTCTCATCAATATAGGATCCAGATCACTTGGCGGTATCTCTGACCCCTCACCTTCTGTAAGACGACTCCGATGACCAGGAGAACTGGGAACACTATTCCCTTCTTGGTCAGAACTATTCTTTTGCTTTCCATCTCTCTGGGGCTTACTATTCAATCCATCATCCCGGAAGCCTTTGGCAAATGGATTGTAATCTATTTTCAGCTGGGTAATCTGAATATTCTGGTAAGCTGTCACTGCAAAGAATTCAGTTTGTGGAAAGGTAAAAGTGTGGACACCGGGACCATTCAATTGTATCACTTCAGTAGCCTTTTCTGCAGGTACCAAATGAAGTCTTGGCAGGTAGCGATGCATAGAGTGCAAGATGATGTGCCCTTCTTGGTCCAGTGTATTGTTGGTAAGTTTGAGTTTATAGAAAGATACCGGTTGATGCATCCAATAATGACCTGTGGAAGGAGATTCTGGATGAATAAAAACCCTCCCCAAAACATGGGGCTCAGCCTTCCCACTGGGTTCCCACCAACGACCATTCCATTTGTAACGATGGTTGTCCACAGGAGATATATCCATAACAAGGATGTACTTCAAATTTGAATCTAAACCTGTTATCCAATAACGACAGTAAGGAAACATGCGCCTTCCCTGCTTGGTCAGAATCATCTCTGTGCTTCGATGATAGAACTCGTTCCACATACTATTGTTATCCAGAGTAACTGTGATTCCTCCCACAGTACAATCAGCTGGAAGGCAAATTTTTCCTTTAGATTTTTCTGGTGATGACACACTGCCAGCCAAAGCACAGGCATCCCGATTAGTAACCAAAATTCCCTGATCAGTTTTGCCATTTCCTGGCTGCTTTAGGATGACAAAGAAGGTAGGTGCTGCTCCTGCCACTGTCCCACCATCCTGATTAGCCAATATAATCTGCTGTTTCTCCTCCATGATTCCAGTGAGAAACTCAGTAGTAAAAGAGCTAATCACCAGTCACAATAGCCTTCCCAGCCTAAAAAAAAAAAGAGGGGGGAAAAAAAACCTTAATCAACTGAGTTTATTTTGTTATCAAAAATACAAGAATGACTATCCTCAAAATACTCATAAATTCTTCTAAGACTTTGCTTCTCCCCTTGTAAATCACTGTGAGGATATTCATTCTAGAAAATTCAATTTTTTTTTAAAGTTCACTTAAATCTAGTTAAATTATTCATACCCTACCACACCAATTCACTATAGATACTGTGATTGCACACACTAAAAGAACTAAAGTATGTATTTGTTTAATACAAGTATTAAAATAGACAACCATAGGGAGCAAAATAATTTAGAGGGTCATTTACATTAAAAAGAGATCCCAACACTTCATGAGCTAATTTGCCAGAGGATTCCTTTACATAACATATGTTCCTGGGATGACTAATAAATAAATTTCCATGTTACTACTGTACAGAATTAGTTCTTTATTATAGTACTGGCATGATTCCATAAATAAGTAAAATGCTAACTTAGCTTGTTAGCACATACATCTAAAAAAGCCATGACAACAAATCACCAGAACTTATCTAAAAAAAACACAGCTGAGTCTATACCTCAGAGCTCGTACTACAAAAAATTCCAGATGAATCAAAGATTTTATTTTTTAATCTTTACTTTTGATAAGATTATTACCAATTAATTGAATTTTTATTTAATTAAATTTGAGAAATTCTTATAGAAGTCCTAAGAAAAGTTTCTTTGTAATAAATAGAACAAAAACCTAGAAAACAGTAAGTTTTTTTAAAAAAATATTGACAAATTCAGTACGTTCCAACTTTTTAAATCTGGCAAAAAACATCCAAACAAATTTAAAAAAAAAAAATAAATAGCTAACTAGGAAATATGGTATTAGCAAATTATATAGTAAAAAACTCATTTCTCTAACATAAAAAAGGCTCGTACAAAATCAACAAGACCAAAAGCCTAATTTAAAAAAAATATATGAATAGACAGCTCACAATAAAAAAGGAGCAGATAGCTATGGAAATGTTTACAGACTCACTCAGAGTAAGACAAATGTAAATTAAAACCACCCTGAGATACATATTTTTTTTTTAACCATCCGGACTGACAAAAATCAAAGTTTGGTGGTGGTGGTGGTGGGAAGGGCACAGGTCAACCAGCATTCTCATCCAAATAACTGCTGGGAGTCAGAATGACAAAATCTCTATGGTAGAGAACTACTTGAAAAGATAAAAATACTTCAAAGTACAAATGCATCTATGACACAGTAGTTGTTCCCAAGACTTTCTTACACATATATACATACCCATGATAAGTGGTATGAATAAAATTATTTCCTATGTCTTCATTAAAAACAAATGACTAGGAAGAAAATGTCCATTAATAGGGTCTGATTAAATAAATGATGGCACATCCATGGAGTTGAATACTATGCAGCTGTTAAAAGGGAATAATAAACTCAAATGCCTTAGGCACTACTCCACCAGACCTCCTAAAATCTTTATAGACTGATACAAAACTAGCTGCACGATATATTAAGGACAAAATGTTCAGAGGAAGTTGTAGATTATGCTGTACTTCTTTAAAAAGTCAAAAGGGGGGGGGAGGTGGCAAAGAAAGAAAATAAAGGCATACCTCAGCTATACCATGGGTTCTGTTCCAGACCAGTGTAGTAAAGCAAATACCACAATAAAGTCACAGAACTTTTTGGTTTCCCATAGCATATAAAAATTATGTTTACACTATACTGTAGTCTATTAAGTGTGTAAGAACATTATGAAAAAGTGTGAAATAGTGAGATTTATCAAAATGTGACACAGAGACACAAAGTGAGCACACGCTGTTGGAAAAATAGGCACTGACAGACTTGCTGGACGTGGTTGCCATAAACCTCTAACTTGTTTAAAAAAAAAATCATCTGTGAAGTGCAATAAAGCAAGGTATGCATGATATATATGTGTATTTGCTTAATGTAAATAGACTAGTTCTATAAAGATGAGAGAAGAAATTAGTAATACTGGTAATATCAAGGGAAAATGGGGTGGCTGGGAAAGATACTATATCCTGACACCTTCTAAGTTTTTTACCTTGTGAATGAACATAGATCTCTTAAAAAAAAAAAAAATGAAAGTTAAAACTAAATTAGTTAATTCTTAAATTACATGAAAAGGGCCATATTTTTTTCTGATTCTATTTACACAGTATGTCCAGAACAGACAAATTCATACAGACAGAAAAAAGATTAGTGGTTCCCAGTGTTTGAAGGAGGGAAGAATTGGAAAGAACTGCTAAAAGTTTTCATTTTGGAGCGACAGAAATATTCTGGAATAAGATATTGGTGATGGGTACACAACATAATATGTTAAAAACTACTGATACATGTATTTTTTAACGGTAGGGTTTATGTTTAATTATATCTCAATTAAAAAGTTATAAAGAAACCTCAGATTATTAAATTTATTAAATTCAACTAAAGCAATATGCTAAATTATCTAAGATTCTGCCAGACATAAATTATCCCTCTAATTAGTTGTTATCCAAAAGGAAGATGCTAGATCAGTACACCTGTGGGTAATTTTGTTTTATCAAATTCAGACAAACTGCTGTTTTTCATCTTCATTAAAAAATTCTAATTTTAGTTCTAGCGACTGGGACACCATGCGATCCACAGCCTACACGACTATAAGACCAGAAGAACTAGATGGTGCCAGCTATCACTATGAACCAACCACCTGGAGGGGGATCTATGTAGGAGAGCCTGGATAGAGAGGGAGAACAATGTAGACCAAAACTCAAAATCATTTGGGTAAAAAAAAAAGGGGTGGGGGGAGATCAGGTTTGCTGGTCAAATAAGAGCCTGGTGGAACCACTGAGACTATGGCCCCTAGCTGCCCTTCAGGTCTGGAACTGAACCCATACCTGTGGCTTCCAGCCAAACAAAAGACAGGCATGTCAGTTGAACATTTACCTGAGGTAGATACACTCCTTGGAGAGATCAATCATGAAAGAAGGGCTGTCTATGCACAGGGAAACAGCTCAGGAGGCAGGTATGTGTGGAGGGATGGACAAAGGGAAGAGGTAACTATGG